GTAGGCGTGTCCTATCCCCTGTATACAATGAATATAAGAAGACGACTTCACAGGGTCAAATTAGTAATATTTTAATGAACCTTTAAGGCAGAAAACATAGTGGGCAACAACTCAATGCACTTGAATAAGGCCCAAAATCACTTAAATTACATTCACAAATCATTTTCAATAAAAACACAATGTCTTACTGCACCCCAGACAACTATCACAATACCGTTTTTTTGTACTCTAGTGAGCAACACTCATTCCAAGTTTGTTTTAGACAGAGAACGCTTACATAAAAGGAAAGTGGTTTAAAAAAAAAAAAAAACACAGCCATTGGGAACTTGAATATACAATGTGTACAGTACGGTATGGCTTGTTAACATTCATCAGAATGCATATCACGTCACATACAGGATTTTTAAGACTCGTCTTCGCAGAGGCTAGTGATGCCAGATTACAAATGGAAAGCAATATATATATCAAAATGCAACTGAAAACTGGTGGCCATTAGAGGAGGCTTTTTTTTCCCGGACTTCATCTTCCGTCATGCAGCAGTAAGCGTAGCAGTGGGGGGGCATCATTGTGATTCTCAACCGAAATTCGAAAGTGCCACTCCATCAAGTTACTCATGCTCACACACACTATTTGCACACAACATTGAGACAACATTATATCATTGTATGTCATTAAACTGAACGAAATCCTGAATGTGTAAAATTAGAAATGGGTGCTGCCATGTAATTCGCCGGTGTATTTTCCAAACATGCATGAGGTCATCTAGCACTTCTCCACTATTTAACATTTTCCCATGCAGAACTTTCTTTAACTGGAGGACGTAGCAGGGTTAAAACACACAACAGTTTCTTGCTTAACATTTGACTGTTCCAGAATTCTTGTTCAGATTGGCCTGCTTCTCTTTGCAAAACCTTACAGTAGTTATAAAGTACAGTATACAATGGAATAAAGAATAGAACACAAAAGACATATTTTTTAAACGGGTGAGAGGAATCGAACGTTAGTCAGTTATTATTATTTTACAGTGCAAGAATCTGAAAGTCACGGACAGGTTAATTATTTACTGCTCTTACCACATCTTGGATTTTCATAGAAATAACATGTAATCATTAGGGCTGGGCAATACATCGATATAATATCAATATAGGGATAAATTATTACACGATACACTTTTCTGAGATATCGTTGGTATGGTGATGTATTTTTTTTTACGGTTTTAATCATTACAAATTAAATGGTACTGAATGGATGCAGTTGATTTGACGTCATTTAAAAAATAAAATAAAACAATCTTGGTCGTTGTAGGCATTAAAGTAGAAAAGTATCATCAAACGGAGTTCAATTTTTTACATTTATTTGACTAATGTTTTGCAGACCGTTTGTTAGGTAAATTATATATCGTGATACGCATCACATATCGTAGAAATGTCCTCAAGTATCGTGATATTTTTGTCATATCACCCAGTCCTAATAATTAGCTAGAATTAGCTCATCAGGTTAAAGAGCGCATTTAAGGCAAAAAACATAAAACAAATGCCATCATGTCAAAAATGCCATCTTATATTTTTCACATTCTGTATAAAATAGATGAGGATAGCAAACTTCACAAATCCACCACCTATTAATAATTGCTGACCAGGTCGACTGCACTTTCAATCCAGACTGGCTCTTCAAACGAGGCAAAAAATGAAGACCTTTATCAAGGCCTATAGACCTCGGAAATACTTCGTTATACTTCAAGCTAGACATTAGACAACATCAGAAACATTCAAAATTACAATGATGACAACAAGCCAGCCACAACCTACTTACTGGATTGTAACGTCAACACTGGCAAAAAAAAAAGAAAAAGAAATGTTAACTGAAATCAAATACATTCAATAATTATTGTTCTCCTGATTTTAGCAGAGGTTCCAGGGAAGGGAAACGCAGAATATGAAACCTGTTCAAAGATCGTAAATGTACTCCTACATATTCAGATTTTGTACAAATAGCTGGTGGTATAACTGAAACTGAAGTAAGACTGGCTGACCCCTTTTAAAGGCCCCTGAAGGTAATGTTGCTTGATGAGCTCACTCAAGAAGCAGATTATTTTACTCTCCTCCTCAGTGTAACCGAGCTGCAACAAGAAATTAGTCCTGCGCAGTACCACGGAGTTGGCATCCTGGTCTGTGCTGATGGGCAGGTGAAGGTGATGGCAGAAAGTATAAAGGAAGGCCTTAGCTGTAAGCTGAGTTAATATGGTCTGCACGTGGAGATAGTAGGTGCTGCCTCGTTTGATCTGTGTCCTATGGTCTGCCACGTGACCCATTAGTGTTCCTTTGTAGGCTGGGCATCGAAGCGTCTTGTTGTCACAGTCCAGGATGCCGATATATCGGCTGTAGCGGCTCAGAGAATGGAGCAAGCTGGAACCTGCTGGAGAAACCCCCCTGGGGGAAAAAAAATACATTTTTTTATTTAATAAGATGACATTTTGTATAATCCGATATATACTATATAGCTAAAGGTTTGTGAACACCAGACCATCACACCCATATGTGCTTTTTGAACCAGCCAATAACCTCCACTCTTCTGGGAAGGCTTTCCACTAGATTTTGCGTTCATTCAGCTACAAGAGCGTTAGTGATGTTAGGTGAGGAGGTCTGTGGTCCAGTCGGTGTTCCAGTTCATCCCAAAAGGTGTTCAGTAGGATTGAGGTCAGGGCTCTCGAGTTCATCCAGTCCAAACTTTCGCAACCATGTCTTCATTCCCAAACCTGTTCCAGCATGACAGTGAAAGTAAGCTTACTTTGTGAACAGGAGCACTGTCATGCTGGAACAGGTTTGGGCCTCTTAGTTCCAGTGAAGGGAAATCGTAATGTTACCGCACACAAAGAAATTCTATACAATATTCCATCCATCCATCTTCTACCGCTTACTCCATGTTCAGGGTCGCGGGGAACCTGGAGCCTATCCCAGGATAGCATCGGGCGCAAGGCGGGGTACACCCTGGACAGGGTTCTATACGATATTGTGCTTCCAAATTTATGTGTTTCCAACATATGGGTGTGATAGTCAGATGTCCACAGAATTTTGTTTATAGGGTACATTACAGTAAGCATGGATCTGGAGAAGGTAATGACAGAATAGGGAAGGACAACATGACAATTGACAATATAATGTCAATGTTATGATACGTTGGGCCAGAGAACACTTTTCTGTGAGTTCTCCTGGCATTAGCAGTACTTTTTAATAATGACCAACCGGTTACTCCCAGCAAATAAAGTAGCTGATTGGACGTTAAAAACCATTTGTCAACCAACTGTTGAATTTTTTTAACAATCATTAGCAAGTGAAAATATATGACATATACTCTCTTTTTTTATATCATATTCTAAAACATCAGTAAATACAATATTGGATTGTTAAACATATTTCTAGACATTTTTACTCATTTGAAGTTTGTTCTATTGGCGGACAAATTTGTGCTTTTTAAGCATTTATTTCTAGAAAGAAGTGAAATGATCTGCCAATAGAATAAGCTTGAGTAAATGAGTAAAAATGTCTTGAAATATGTTTAAATAATATTATATTCAGCATATTTTCACTTGGCTTGTGCCGAATCGTTTCAGCCATGATATACCATGACCAGAATATGAGGAAAGTCAGAACGAGGAGAAAGAGCGAACAAGTAACATCAAACAAACTCCTTTAATTCCGAAGGGCTTTTTTTTTTTTTTTTTAAACCTACTTAATTGGTATTTGATGATGGATTAAGTCTGACTTTATTGGGATCGGTGTTCGTGTTTGCACGGCTCTCAAAACTGTATGCTGATGTGGCCAAAAGGACGGTGAATATTGAAAGTTACGATGTTCATATCGTCATTTATATCCTTATCGCAAAAAATTCCATTAAAATATTGTGATGTTGTTTTCAGTCTGTATCGCCCATCCCTAATTTTCACTTGCTAAGTTGTCATTTTTCTAGGTTTTTAAAATATAGCCCTACAATTTTCCTAGTGCACTGGTTATCAGTTCTAAAAACTGAGACATGAAAAATAATAAAACGTGGGGGGGTTTTTTTGGTCGAGAATATAGAAAATATATAGAAATTATGTAGAAGAAAATATCTATGACATGTAATCAATGTGTATAACTCACTTCTGGATATGTTAATGAAGTGTATTCAATATGTTACCTGCATTTAGAAGTGCTACTTAAAGCATAATCAAATAATCTGTATGGGTTAAAAAGCATAATCTAGATGTATAACCAATAGTTAGAAGCATAATCTAAATCCATAGAATAATGGTTGATCAAGTTATATTCTGAGTGTGGATCGAGTTAGAAGAATTCTGTGCCTTACTGAACAGTAGGTCTAATTTCTTTCTGTGGCAAATCTAAAGCTATAAGACACTTGTGTTCTCCTACGTGGGTAAAGTAAGAGCCTTTGTTTGTCTAAACCCAGCTTTACTTCTACGTGTGTAAATGAGGTACTTTGGGGTTGTACAAATCAGATTTTTAACCTAGAAAGGTTGATTTTATCTACAACAAGAACCGTCACAAGACAGTCGTCATTCAATTCATGATGCTGGTCAATCATGTAAAATAAATAAATAAATAAATAAATAAATAAATAGTTATAGGATACAATTACTTGAGAATGCTTCAAATACAAAGAGGTCACCTCAAGGCTGATACTTTGATGACGAATTAAAGAAGAAGAAGAAGAAGGTGAAGAAGAAGGACGGAACATATATTCATTTAATTTGATACATCTTCCAAAAATATTGGATAAAATGTCTAAATATATCTTAGTGCCAGATTTATATTAATTTATTATATTTTGTATAATTTATCATCCAATATAATAATATGAAAATAAAGTCAAAACAATGTTATCATTTGATAGAATTACATTTACATTTATGGCATTTGGCAGACGCTCTTATGTTTCTCATATTTATACATCTGAGCATTTGAGAGTTAGGGGCCTTGCTCAAGGGCCCAGCAGTGGCAGCTCGGTGGTGCTGAGATTTGAACTCACAACCTTCTGATCAGAAGTCTTTGTCCAAAGTCTTAACCGCTGAGCCACCACCACCATATCAGTGATAAATGAATTTGGTAGCAGCAATTTCAACATTAACTGAAATAGTACAGCTGATGACATCGTACCTCTGCAATCCAATGAGTTTCCATCTCTGAAGGTCACTCAGCTGAAACGATGTGGAAAGCCAGGGCTGCACGGTTTCGCCGCACTTACCAAGGTTGGGCACGAAAATCAGCAAGGCGTTCACCAGCTTCCTTACAGTGCCTTCATCAGCACCCAGAACCACAAGTGTTCTCCCACTCAGAAGGCAGAAGATGGCTTGCTGAGCAAAAGGGTACTGCCTGATGAAGCGCAGCGCACTGTGCCCTGCCTTCTTCTTCTGCTTCAGCGTGACGGGACTGCCGTAAGTAAAAGGCGACGCTGCTCTGTCCGAGCTTGCGGAGGTGCTCGTGTAACTGGAATTGTCAGAAACATCTTCCACGTTCATTTTGACCATCTCCTCAGACAGAGAGCTGGGGCTGAGTTCAGGAAGCACCAACCCCATGCGGCGACTCGGTACAGTCAGCGTCGCGTCTCCTAAGACGTAGTCCACTTGCAGACCAGGGTCCCTCTGAAGTAGGGACAGAGGCTCGCGCTTGACTACTGTGTCCTCATGACATTCCTGTACTGGTTCAGGCTCCTCGTAAATAAAACCATCCTGTCCCATACAACACGCTGTGTCCATTTGAACTAGCGGTCCAGTTCCAAACACTTCATCGTGATTCAGGTCCGATTCCCGTTCTAGCGAGAGTGATGTCTTTCCAAGAGCAGCGACAGATGGAACATTTCCTTGTTCCTCGCATGATGTTACGGTACAAGCCACACTGGTGCTCCTACTTGAAAAACCGTCAGGATTTCCTGGACTAAGGTTCACAAATGCCTCAATGCTCCGGTCACTGCTGAAGCTCCCTTTCATTTCAGCGTCATTAGCGTCTTCGGAGGTTTCCTGCGTAGCGTCTGAGGTGCTTGACTCTCGAGGTCCTTCCATGGTTTCGAGTACCAGTTTGTTTGGACTTCTCTCAACATGATTGGCGTAGGACTCGAGGCTCAATGGCTCACCCAAGAAGCCGGATGGAACGCGGGTGAGACGTGTGGTATGGTTCGGGTCATAAAAATTCCCGGAGCTGCCCTCTTCTTCATCGTCACGTTCCGACTCAAAAAGAAAACTGGTGATCTTCTGTTTACTCAAGAGGGCCCGGTCAACCTGGCTGGTGTAAAGAAAGCAAAGATCGCCTCTGAACGTCTTTTCAATCGCGTTCAGTTGGTCCATGGTCTGAAGGTAAAAGTCTGATTCACAGAGTTCTTCCAGGGTTTTTAAGCGTTTATCAAAACATTTCGCAGATTTAGCTTTAATAAGCTGGGGTATGTAAGACGGGTGTTGAGTACCGCCATCTGTTCCCACAGGTTTCTCGCCATTTCCGGAATGATTAGAAGACAGTGTGTGGTCAACCGTGCTATTATTTTCTGGCTCAGGCTGTACCTGATCAGGATCTCTCCTTCTTCTGTTAGGATATGATGTGATCTGCCTCAGCAAATCTTTATGTTCATAGATAGACTTTTCGACGTTTGCCAGTTCATTAGCCTTCTCGATAACCTGCGAGGAATAACAGCCGCTGTTGGTTTTCTGGAGCTCGGTCTCTTTGTGCAGGATGGACCTTGTATATTCCAGGTCGCTTAGTTTATTTTCCAGTTCATTCGCAAAGGCCTTTCTATTCCCTGATTTTAAGCATTCGGAAGCCCTGGAAAAGCCCGATGAGAGCAGCCGGAACTGCTGCATGATCTTTCTCTCGTCTGCTGAAATGTACGCCATGCAAAAAGGCCGCACGAAGCCACGCGCCTCCAGGTCGTAGAGGGTCAAGTGATGCACGTAGGCAAACGCCCCTTCCTTGGAGTCACCGAGGACAACTTTCGAGTCCTCCACGAAATTGAGCTTGGGGTAGCTCGTGCCTGGAGGATGGCCCACAAACGAAGCCTGGTAGTCCACAGACATGATGCGCAGAGAGAAGTAATTGAGGTCAAACGTCCCACACACTTTGGGATCATCTGGGATTGTGAGTAATGGCTGTGGTCCAACCTGCTCGGAAAACTCTGAGATAAGGATGAAATCCTTGGAGAATTTTGCATAGGAGGTTTTTAACCATGGGTTGGCGTTTACATGAGGAAACAAAGGCACAGAAAACTCCTCTGGGACCAAGTACGGGTCTGGGTATGCATCTCCAAAATCATCATCATCTTTGGTAAATGCCACCACATCTGGGGATCCGATCATGTTCTCGGAATGTTAGAAGCGACATCAGAAGAAATCTCCTCCTACACCAGAGCCAGAGGCGCATCTAGACACCGAGACACTAGATCTGCTGGCTCTTTGCTTTCCATCCCTGGGCCTAACCAGAACACAGAACCAGCAATTAGACACGCAGTCATCCTTACAGCACAACTACAACACTCGGATCACAATCTGACACAGCACACCTAACATATTTACCAAACCGTCGCAAGGTTCACTTCCTCCATAGAATCTATCCACAGCACATCCTGCCTGTATCAGCAGCCATAGGGGGGAAAATCATAATGGGCGTACGTGTAAATCAGGACAGATTACATGATTCACATGTCATGTCCTTGCCCAAAATTCTCCAGCTTTGATGTGTAGATCAGCAAACCGGAAAACGTCTGTGTACATTTTCCGGTACGTTCGACGTCATAAACTGTTCGTCCACCCGGAAGTTCGTAATTAAATTAAAACGTATTGTTTAAATTAAAATGACAATGATGTTTACACTCGTATCGATGGCTAAAACAGAGTATCCGTTCGTGTTTCGCTCTTTTTGAAGTGATGTGTTAGATGAATTGCCGATGAATTATAGTCGCTGAATTACGGCAGTTTTACGACAGGTCGGTACAGGCGCCGAATTTGGAAAGTTCCTCATTTGTTTTTCAGCTGAAGATATTGATTAAATATTGAATGAGCTGTGTGTTTATGCGTGTACGTTTTTTTTGACGTGTCATTGTGTTTGTTTATTGTCGTGTTAGTTTTTGAAATAATAATTTATGCCTTATTAGTTTAGCCAGCTAGCTTAATATGCATAGACAAAACGTCTATAGCTACGTGAAGATCCGCTAAACAGAGCACGTCTGAGTGGAATTTTCCCGGTACGCGCTTACGTCAGAGTTTTTACGTCCCACCCGGAAGTACCGTACATGATTAAACTAAAAACAAACTGACATTGTTTAGATACAAATGCCAAGCATTTTACACTTTTATAGATGACCGAAAGAGAGTATTCGTTCGCATTCACGTTTCGATGTTTTTGAAGTGATAGATATATATATATGAAGAACTCCCGGGAAACTCCCTGTTTTTTTTTTCTCCCGGGAAAAACGGCGTCCGCGCGTCCTTTACGGCAGTTTTACGACAGTTTGTGACAGGCGCCGTATTTTGAAAAGTACATGTTGCTTTTTTTCCCTGTGAGAGCAGCTCCATATCAAAACAATACTTCAGCTCCTTTATTGACAGTTTTATCATATTCGTGTTTACATCTGTCGCGGCTTATTTGATGGAAATGTCATTTTTAGCAGGTTTTAAAAATTAAATAAAAGCACTGGTGTTTTATTAGCTAGCCAGCTAGCTTACTTACTACACTGACAACAGAGTGCACTCGTGTGAACGCGGACTCTTGGCCATGGCCGGTGTAAAAACGCGCCGGGTCGCGCAGCAGCTTTGCGGATTACAGTGATGATCAGTGTGGGAAGGTTACTGTCTCGACTGGCAGCTCGGAGCCGTATTAGTCGCTCGATATCCGGTAGTATGATGAGAAGAGCTCAGATTAAGAAGGTGCTGTGCGTCGCTGAAAAGAACGATGCAGCCAAAGGCATCGCAGAGATCATGTCTAATGGCAGATCCAGAAGAGTGAGTGCGGATCAGGCCACAGAGATTTAGTGACACATAATCATGGTGCGTTGGATGAGATGGTCACTGTGTGTGTTTTCTTTCCCCCATGTAAACAGAGAGAAGGGTACTCGGTGTATAACAAGATCTATGAGTATGAATATCATCTGTTTGGACAAGTAAGTGTTGTGTCATTTTCAACCAGCAAGTACCGGAATCAGTTGTTCAACCGAGTCTAATCTGGTGTGTGTGTGTGTTTGTTTATTCTCTAACAGGATGTTACAGTGTGCATGACGTCTGTATCCGGACACCTTTTAGGTCTCGAATTCAAAGCTCCATTTCAGAAATGGTGAGTCCGAACCGCGTGTTTTATCCGAGCTCGATGAGTGTGAAATGACAGTTTTGAGTGTAAGCGTTTGAAATGAATCCTCATTTAGAATCAACGATAGAAAACATAAAGCTTAAGCTTATCAAGAAGGAGACCAAGAATGCGGTGAGTGAAGCCCTATTCGGACGGGATTCAATTTGCATCTGGTTCCGGGAGTCATTTTCCTATTTCTCATGTGCTCCACTATGAACTTCTCTCCGTCCGGATCGATCGGCCGTGTCGGTGTGGGTTTTTTTTTTTTTCCTTTCCATCGAGATGTCGCCTCACGTTGTGGGAAAAGAAAAGATCTGCTGCCGCCTTGCGTGTGTAATCTTGCAGAGAGCGTATCCGTGACCCTCCCTTAGATATCAAACACTTCCTGAATTGTCATGAATTGTGTTTACGGATTGTCGCTGGAACCTTCTTTGGCACCAAGCTGAGCTAAGCGTCTCTTATTTCATGTTATATGAAGTGCTCCTTTCCAGGTTTGGACGCCATGTCGTTGAACGAAGCACGATCGTATGACCAGGTGATGGAAACATCCGGGTTCCTAGAAAATACAAAGGCACTCCTCCTGCGTTCAATTTATGCGAGATGTTTGTCACAGAGGAGAGTAGGGCTTCTGGCAGTTCTAGCAAATATAGTTAAAGGTCAGAGATGTCCGTAATAAAGGTGGGTTGAATATTAAAATTGAAAGGATTCGGAAGGCGGATATGCAAAATAATGTTGGCGAGCAGTTTATAAAAGCAAAGCGTGG